TGTCCCGTTGTCCTTCAGGTGGCATCAGCAAGGCCAATTTAGTTATTCGTGGGAGTCATTAACCTGTGAATATCATTTATACTTGTTCAACTGTAACATCAAATTAACTTTTGGTTTCTGGATTTCCATAATGTCTATGCACCAGAGTTTCTATCACTTGGTTCAACTTGTATCTGAGAAATTTGTGCGGCCCTTCATTTCACACTTAGCATTGTTACATTTCTGGATTTACAGAGTAAATACATCATTTTCTATTTGCAGCATATGTTTATGTTTCAGTGATCCGCGATCCATTTTAGATAAGACTCATTTTATCTCAGGGTCTTCCTGGATTTATTTCAGTGGCCCTTGTACTAATCTTGTTTGGAACATAATTCGATATTGAACTTCCTTGTTTCAGGAAAACGAAAGGATGGGATCAAAATTTAATGCATTGTGGAAAAATGAGTTACTTGCCCTGGGCAAAGATGATAAAGATAAAGCAATCACAGTAAGAAATGATTATCCGAAGCCCCCTGTCCCTTGTTTTGAAATCACTGAGGATTTTGATTTGGAAAAGGTTGAGGAGGTATGATAACTATCCATCTGTGTGATATTCCTCTCGCCTTATTTTTTCTTTTCCAGTGCTGACTCCTGACATTCTCTCTTTCAGCTTATGCTAGAAAGGGATATTAAGATCGCCAAGTCCATGGCAAATGACATAATCATCCCAGACCCTGCTCCCAAGGTTTGTGTTACCTTCATTTACATAATTTGATTGATGACTCATTCCATTACATTAGTTACTTTGTTTAACCCTGTAATATTATAGGGTACTTAAGTCTACTGAAACAATATGTTTGTTGTTGTCATATATGAACCTTGGATAGGAACATGTGGATTCGCATGCCTGAACCATGCTAGCTTTAGATCCCCTTACTTTTCCTTCTCTCCTTGTTGGTGCCTCATGTTTGGTTTTATCTTCAGTGTACACCAACTTGCTTGCGTTACAAGGTTTTGTTGTTTCAATTGTTGTCAGCACCTCCATAGACCAAACGACAGTTTATTTTGTGGTGTTTTTAGTTGGATAACTGACGCCTTTCACCTTTTTCAATTGTGACGGACTCATCTAGTGGGTGGGTGATGCCTTCTTGGACATATATGCCAAATTGGAGCACATCCTTGTAAAGGATAGTGTCCGGTGCTTCCTCCGATTTTTCGAGAACTGTGAAGGCCAGGGCATGTCATCTTATCTTACCATCACCGCACAAACCTTAACCTTCATTGTCAGTTTCAATGCCCTGCGATGTGCAAAAGTCGTATTGGAGGGCATGGCACCTGAGCTCTATGGGATGCACGCCAATCCCAACTGCATAAACAAATATGGATACTTCGTGCTCCATGAAGCTGCTGAAAGGTTCTCTGTTGACATGATCAAGCTGCTTTTACGCCATGGTGCATCACCCAATGTGCGCACAGTTGGCAATGATGTCATCGAGAATCTACTCCCGCTCCATGTCGCAGTTGAGAATACTTGCCTGCATAAGTATCTGGAGGACAATCTGGAGGACAATCCTTCTCACAGCCAGAATCATGAGGATATGTCTACAAGCTTATTCATCTGCTGTGTCTACCTGAAATGGTCTGTTTCACTTCCCTCCCTATACGAATTACTACTTTTGCAGCATGACGTAAAGAGTAACTATGGTTCTGAGTACCGGGCATCCTTTCATCTCAACCTGTCAGAAACCCCTGACAGGTTATAATGAAATTAGTGATACTAAGTATCGGGCATCCTTTCATCTCAACTTGTCAGAGAAAGTAAAGTTCACATTTATTAATCCTTCTTGTCTTGCTTCATGTGCAGTGTATCTTCTTATAGTAAAGGATAAAACTTCATCAATAAAATATACAAAAACTGTTGCTAGTAATTAATTTTATTTTCTTTGCCTTGGAGATTGTCCCTAATCCATATTTACTTTGATAGGAGGAAACACATTGATATATAGAAAGATTATTCAACATTGCTTGCTTGCATATGAATGCTGAATGGACTTAGATTATTGTTCCTTGTTGTTTTACAGAAGATCTTCTTGGACACAATTAGACTGCTTGCAGAGAAAACAAATAATCTACTCGAAGAGCTCTGGAATTATATTGAGGATGGAAAAATTATCCAGTCTGCTGTTCTACTACTGGCTGCTCAAGAGCAGATCCGTGGGGTTAGTTCTTCCAAGATAAATGGCAGTAGTAAGAAAAATGGTTTGAAATCATCGAGAAGTGTATAACGAGGCATTCATATGCCTTGAGAAACGAGAAAGGTTCACTTGGAATGGTACAGGAGCTTCTGGAGGAAAGGAAGACGCTTAACGATTGTGCATGGCTGCTTGTTGATGTAATTTCCCATGCCGGTGAAGATCTTTCTGCATACATTCAAGCGCATTCTGTGGTAAGGTGTTTTCGGTATATTGCGGCTGCAGCACCTCTGATGCCTTTCGCTTAATATTTAATACATGCCCTAGTCTTAGCAAGAAGATAATTTTCACTTCAACTGAAAATAAAAATGTTATACTTGCTCCGTCTTAGCAAGAAGATAATTCTCACCTCAACTGAAACTAATAATGCTATACTTTTTCGAGCCCTTATACCAGATTTGTACTTATTGTGCTAATGTTATCATAAAGCTGCACATTTTACCAGCTGGACAACTATGAATAACATGTCGTACCACATGTGGCTCTGCTGAACTGAGTGGTTGACCTGTTGGCCTATCATTGCAGCTCATGCTAAAAGAAGTGTAGTTTCCTGATAATATGTGTGAGAATGTGTAGTTTGTGAATTCTGTTCTTGTTAATTGAAAGAAACTCAAACCCAAGGTGCTACTTAGATTCGGAAAATTTCCATCCACTTTACATCGGTTTGTTGGTTGAATAGATGATTCTTGTTGTAATGTTTAGCCTGTCATATAATGCAATGGGATACAAACCCCTCTTATTTCTGAACACTTGGGAAAGGTGATGGCAGATATAATGAAACAAGAGCAAATAATTGATGAGAGTAATGCCGTTATAATAGCTATTAAATGAAATGTTCTATGTCAAAAGTATTAGTAACAATCAGCCTGTTATTAGTTATCCATATACTCAACCACATCAGATCCCCTGTCTGGTGTGGATGAGTATATGGATAACAAACAAACAAACTATAAGAGCACCTTTTATCTTCATCATCGAACAGACAAACAAACTATAAGAGCACCTTTTGTGCTTTATCTTCTAAGACATTGCTTGATATTATTACATTGCGAAGGAGATTGCTATACGAGTTCATGATAGGTACAATTTTTTATGCTTTCTGCATTGAATTCACACACTACAAGTAGAAGGAGCATGTTAGCTCCTTCTCCAGTACCATATGCATTTGTGTCATGGAAATGCGAGTCTTACAATGAATACTTAATGCATGCATAAATAGTGAACACATTGGTGACAGAAACACTCTTCTCCATATTAATATTATCTGACATGAGTATAGTGTGAAGTGCCAATTTTGTTTGTTCTTGGCTTCATTTGTTTCTATTTTCTGGTTTTGTCACTGCCTTGTATCATTTTTAGCAGTAAAATTGCCCGTATCAACATCAAGTGTTTGGTTAATGCTGTTGCATGGTGCATGAATACAGAACATGTGCTTTTGTCATTTCTCTCTGTTTATTTACTGGATGTGTGGCAGATAATTTGGTAAAATGAGTACTTCCATATTTTATGGTGGCAGCTGTTTGGCATGACTCCCAGCTCCAAAAATTCTAGGTGCTGGAGCTGGGGTATATTAAAGGCGTTGACATGAGCCTTCTTTATCCATGTTAGACTGAAAATTTATGCTTAAGATACTTTATTTAGCCTAGAAACTCCAGGTCCTCCAAGAAACAGGGGGTTGGAGCTCATTACAGCAACTTGTCGGTGATTCCGGAGGACAGTTCAATGTAGTTCAACAAACACTAGGTGTATGCAGTTCATGACTAACCTTTTTAAGTTTGTCTGCACTTCATTTGGATCATACAGCCTGAAGAAATTGACACCTTTCTCTTTGGGAAACCAAAACAAAACAATTAAATTGATTTGAAATAGTTGGAATTTGAATAACTGTGACGTGTAGTTAAATATACAGAATTGTGATGCAGTTCTTGACTCGTACCTTTGAAGCGTCTAGATAGATTATAACGTGTAGTTAAATACACAGAACTTGTGGAGGTTAACAGATTTTGCTTTAAGATAGACATGATACACAGAACCTGAAGGATTGGAGTATCACCAAAGAACTAGCTATGGACAGGGGTGTGGGAAGCTTGCTATCCATGTGCCAGAGCCATGAGTTGGTCGCGAGATCTTATGGGTTTCACCTCTAGCCTACCCCAACTTGTTTGGGACTAAAGGCTTTGTTGTTTTTGTATAGACATGATACAGTAGTCTAGATGAATCCGAATATGTTTATCATGTAGTGAATTGAATGCGATAACTCTTTGCGCACTGTTCTATTGCCTTCCAACTCATATCGCACAATTGCAGTTTTCTCCTCCAAACAATTCTTTCCATCATCTCGCTGCTTACAATTGGTTATATAATTGCTACATTGTATATACAGTAGATCTATGTTACAGATATATTGCCTTATACAACTCTTGTATGTTATGTAGGTGTCCCATGTGGAGGTCTTTCAACATGTTTCATCTATTCTCAAGGAGTGTGGATTTTGCCCTACTGGAGATCTTATGGACACTATAAACCTGTACTATTCTTTGTATTGCTTCACACAATAATTTTCTATGTGAATAAATGGTTATTTTGCTGATTATTTTATTTTGTCTTCAACTTCTTGAAGCCAGCCTTATGACTGCAGAAAGTCAAACGGAGAGTCATGCAAAGGTGTTTGGGCTCAAACTGAGTCTTAATCTCTCCCCTTATTTTTAAACTGGATAATAGGGCTTACAGATGCAAACATGGCAGTTATGGAATCAGCCAAGCTGAATGCTGCAGAGAAGAAGGTAAAGATAATCAAATCTGGGGTTGATCTAGTTTTAATAGACTGATGTTGTTCAGTAACGAGTAATGATATTGTGGCAGCAAAAAGAAAGAAAGCTATAAGAATATGTGCCCTTTCCTTTCATTTTATTTTATCTTACATCAACTTTTTTTAAGAATACGTGAGGAAGTAAAATTTTCCCAAATTGACAAATCCCATGAACGCTTTCAGATACTGTTTTAAAGCCTGTTTTCTTGACTTCTGACTGTACTCATCTTGGCCTAATCTCGGTTCCAGGTACTGTTTTAAAGACTGTACTCATTTTTGTGCCATGCATTGTGCTGGTTCAACAGCTTTTTATGTTGCTTAAGCATGCTACTTAATTACTACACTGTAGTAAGATCATTTATATCTAATGATGAAACACCAATGTTGTGTATTGATCAACATAATACTCCCTTTCCCATAATATAAGATCATATTATGGGATGTAGGGAGTACATCTCAAGCGAGAGGTACTGGCTGGAAGCATGGATGTTTCTATTTTTTATGATGTACCTCTACTGAAATATGTGACAGGCTGTGAGAAAGAAAGTAGGCGGAGGATGGGATCCCACGTATACAAAGAGAAGCTTTTTCCCATATTGGAGATCAGTGTTACAAGCTCGGGTTCCTTTGAAGGTGTATCCAGCCCATGCAAGCTCAGATCCTAGGTCTCGTGTTAACCATGGACAACTCCATGTCTCTCTGAGTAACTCAATAGCCAATGGATCTACAACAACTCCAAATCATAAACTTGGTCCAGTGCGAAGAACCTCGCCACTTACAAGCAATAATCAACCCAGAAGGTGCTTTGTCACTGCTGCTACTGGTGCATTCAGGCTCTTGAAGGTGCTAAAGTAGAGTAGAAAGGTACGTCAGGAGTTTGTCTTCCTCCCCCAAGTTTTCTGAACATGCACCACATAAACACATGTGAAGAAAGAATTTTCGTGATGCACCTTTAACTAGTAAGGTTATCCATTGATAGTCCATTAAGGATGTTGGTTGGTGGGGTTTGTTCATTTTTGCATCATAGTAGGTCGCTGGTATTTGTATGTGGAGATGCAATCCTACCTTAAGCTTATTTCTACTTCCAGTTGATCGCCAAAGGAAGGCTGGTGATCTCTGGATTGAGTGGGAAAAATGACTGGCATGAACTAAATTTCTGGCCTATGACGCCGAACGATGTGTCAATGTGTCAATGTGCCTGAATCTGCATTGGCATGGGAGAATTTCGTATTTTCATTTCCTTTTTGTCCACGTCATTTTCTTTTTCTACCAAACTGTTCTGATTTTGTCGATTTCCTTCTGTTCTGGTGAATTGTGCAGGAGGCTCAACTGATGCCTGACTTGATAGCCGCTGTGACCCCAGTCATTTAGATGTGGTGTTGTAAGTGTCAAATGTGTGTGATTTTGTTCTCTCGTCATCGAATAGAACTGGATGGAGATGGTTCGTAACATCGAGGTTTAGCTTTTGACCTATCAACTACTTGTCTGAATGACTTTTAACGTTAATGTTGTACACATTTGTGTCTGGTTCCATCTCAATGATTTTTAACGTTAATGTTGTATGCATTTCTGTCTGGCTCCATCTTAAGCCTCCGGCGTGTGTTAGAAACGCGGAGCATCTCCAACAGAAAAGTGAGAGGCATGTCCTAGGCAATTGATAAGTAGATTGATCGCTGTCATTACAATTTTATATGAGGGAGAGGTATAAGCTTGACACACGTTCCTTGCTAGGATCACACGCCTTATGATTTGTATTCTAGCAAGCATTTGCAACTACTAAAGATCATTAAGATAAAACTCAATCATAGCTTGTAAGTGTAAAGTCTCCTTTGCTCTTGTACACAACTACCTACTTATCTGAGTTTAATCTGTTGTCGCTCTGGCAACCTTGACAATATGCAAATCATGAATATATTGCAACACCTAGAGTGGGAACATCATACACTTGAGCGACACGGCGGGCATCATAGGATAACACCAAAAAAACATAAAACTTGAATCAATCATGATCATCAATCAACCACATGACAAAACGAATCTACTCAAACATCATAGGATGACAACACATCGTTAGATAATAATATGTAGCATAAAGTGCCATGTTTAACTAGGGGTACATTGGTTCTGGAGAGTAGACCACTGATAATAGACGAGGAAAGGTGATGGAGGTGTTGATGAATATGACATAGTTGTTGGAGTAGATCGCAGTCACACGATAGTTCCCTCGACGACGCTCTGGCACCACCGGGAGAAGGGGGGAGGGGGGGAGTCTCCCACCTTGATTGGCCTCCCTCCTAGATGGGAGGAGAGTTAACTCTAAGGTTTTTTTTTTCGAAAATTAGCTTTCTTGCGTCGAAAAAAGGGCTACAAACGACCAAAGGGCTGGCCACAAGGGAGCTGGGTGTGCCCAGGTGGCTTGTGGGGCCCTTGGGCACCGTCTTGCATTGATTCTTTCTCCCAAAATCACAATATTTCATAAATGATCTCCGTAAATTTTTATCGTGTTTGGACTTTGTTTGATATGAATTTTTTGTGAAATACAAAAAGATGCAAAAAAGTAGAAACTGACATTAGGCACCGGATCAATATGTTAGTCTAAAAATAATATAAATTATTGCCAAAAGTATGTGAAAGTAGTAAAATATTGGCATGGAACAATAAATATTATAAATACGACGAAGACGTAACGACATCCTCAAACTTAATTCATGTTCGTCCTCAAATAGGTAAATGATAGAACAAGATAATTTTTTATGTGAAATGCTACCTAACATAATCTTAATTAAATAATCTAATCATGGCATGAATATTAGGAAATGAATGATTTAAGACAATAGTCTATCAATTTGATATTAAGACATCAATACTCAGGCATACTAACAAATAATCATGCCATTCAAAATAAAGAATGCTAAAGAACGTTATCCCTACAAAATCTTATAGCTTAGCATACTTAGTCTTCCTAGCATAAAGTATATATCATGAGCACCCTAGCGTCGAACCAAGCAATTGTATCATACTTTTTCTGCTTCAACTTTTTTAACTACACTCAATACACGAGCATGAGCCATGGACTTTGCACTTTGGATGGAATAGAGAATGGTGGTAAGGTTTTATAAGAAGACAAAATATGGAGAAAGTCTCGCATCAACTCGGTGGATCATTAGGCAATGGAGAGGCCTTACAATCCAAGTCGATGCGAGGAGTAGGGATTCCATGCAACTAAGTGGGTGTACATCCAACTTGTTTGCTCACGAAGACCTCGAGCGTTTGAGGAAGCTCGTCATCGAAATATACAAGCTAAGTTCTATAATGTAAAGATCCCACTAGCATAATCATGAAGTATATGAAAACTCTATATAAAATACATGGTGCTACTCTGAAGCACAAGTGTGGTAAAATGATAGTAGCACATCTTCTCTCTTTTTCTCTCATTTTTTTGTTTCCCCCTTTTTCCTTTTTATGGGCTCTTTTTGACCTCTTTTTTTTTAGAACAGTCTCATGGACCCCATCCCCACTTTTTCGAGGACTCATTAGTCTCCATCATTCATGTCCTCACTAGGGCAATGCACTAATAATGATCAACACACTTTTAGTTACTTACAACTCGATAATTTGAAAAAATATGACTATATGAATGCCTCTGGCAGTGTATTAGGATGTGCAATGATCTAGCGTAACATGTATAACAATGATGAACGATGGCTGCACCACAAAATATCATGTCATCTCTATATGATCATGCAAAGCAATATGACAATGAATGCTCAAGTCATGTAGATGGTGATGGTGAAAGTTGCATGACAATATATCTCAGAATGACTATGGAAATGCCATAATAGTTAGGTATGGTGGCTGTTTTGAGGAAGGATATATGAGGCTTATGTGTGACAGATCGTATCATATCATGGGGTTTGGATGTACCGGCAAAGTTTGCACCAAGTCTCGAGGTGAGAACGGGCATTGCACGGTACCGAAGAGGCTAGCAAAATATGGATAGGTGGGAGTGTTTATAGTCCACAAACTCACATTAGTGATAAGAATTCAAGTACTTATTGTGAAAGTTTAGAAGCTCTTGAAGCAAAGTACTACTCGCATCCCCCTAGAGGGGAGGTTGGGAGGAGTTAACCATCATGCGTTCGAACAACACAAATGATTTCAATCAATGATAAATTACACTCCAACTTCACCGCAAAACTAGAGGCTATACGCGCATGCTTCGGAAATCATGAACTTTAATATCAATATTTTTACTAACCCATGATAATCAGCTAGTACACCCACATATTACATTCTTAATATCGCAACACTATTGCAAGGAATCAAACATATGTAAATTTTATGCATGATTTTATGACTAACCATGTGAGTGACCAACCATGCTAACTCTCTAAATAGATATAAGTGAAGCATGAGAGTTTCATTATTTCTACAAAAGACTCATACACACGCTAATAAATATAAGTGAAGCAAAAGAGCATTCTACAATTAGTAGTGTTCCAAATTTAGAGAAAAGAGCATCCAAACTTCAGAAGATATAAGTGAAGCACATAAAGCATTCTATAAAGCCGTACTCAAGATATATAAGTGAAGTGCAAAGAGCATTATATAAATCAACCAAGGACTATCTGATACCAGCATGGTGCATCACTAAAAGAAAAGTAAAAGCACATGACGCTCCAACAATTTACGTATATCATGTGAACAAAACAAAAACCGAGACATACTAATAATTGTCGAGGAAGAAAGATGGAATGCCTTCCGGGGCATCCTCAAGCTTAGATGGTTGGGTCTCCTTGAATATTTACTTGGGGTGCCTTAGGCATCCCCAAGCTTAGATGGTTGAGTCTCCTTGAATATTTACTTGGGGTGCCTTAGGCATCCCCAAGCTTGAACTCTTTCCTCTTATTCTTCTCATATCGATGTCTCCTCGGCCTTCGAACACTTCATCCACACAAAACTTAACCAAACTTTTATTAGAGGGGTTAGTACATATAACATCAAATCCCATCATGTATTGCTATAAAAACATTGTACAATTATAATCCAAACATTAACTATTGTATGCTAACACAATTCTAATTCTCCCACATCAATGGGGCTTGGCAAAATTGCAAACACAAGCAGATAAAGAAACTATAACAACAATATCTGAAAACAGGACAGTCTATAAAGATGCAGATGGAACATATACTTATGTAACTATAAAAATTCTAAAAAACTAGGACGTAATAAATTTTTTGCATAGTAGTACTGTGTAAAAATTTCAGAATTGTTCCACGTTCCAGTAAAATATGAAAATTCAAACACTACAGGAAAAGCTTCTGTTTCTACACTGCACATAGCAAACAAGCAATCTAAACACCCTAAAGGTAAATCTTGGCACATTATTTGTATAGTACAATGGATTTGTACAAGGGTATAATTATTTTTTTGAAAAGTTTCTATGATTCAAGATTTGCAAAGTTTCCATGGGCATGAACACAAGTTCAAGGATATCCTCCACTTCAACGGTGCTCGTCTTTCTCACTTTCACTTTTCTTTTTAAATTTTTTAGGTTCCCCTCTATATATTTTTGTTTTAAAACTCTTTTAAAAGCACAGAAAATAAGAAAATGTCTCTCTAAAACTTCGAGTTGTCTCCCAGGCAGCGCTTTCTTTAAAGCCATTACTAGGCATAAAGTCCTCAAGTAATTGATCCAATCGAATCCCAAGGTATATCAAAGCCAATTTTAATTAACAATGATTTATAATTTAGTAGTGAGCACAAAGCAACATATATCATGTACCAACAAAGTCTATCTATCTTCCTGTGCATTGGCATGTCATAAAAGAACAATCCATGTAGACAAAGTA